CCTATGACTACTGATATATGCTGCTATGTCATGGTGGTATATATTACCTATCTATGTATAATCTCCCCTACCCCTCCCTCCTTCAAAGACATAGACTTGCACCCTTCTCCCCTCCACCACCACCATCCATGACAAGGATTGTACAGGGCTTTCTCTACACGCTGGGAGTTGTAGAGCACGAGAGAAGCAAGCTTAGGAACACGAGGCGTAGTTGCAAACAGCGTGCGCGTTATATCTCAATATAAATGCATATGTGAAAATATAAAAACATAGGGAAACTAAGATATACTTAAAATATAAATGCCATTAAATGAAACATCCTTGAAATGATTTGATTTATTATAGAAACATTAGTGTTTTACTGGGAAATACGCCACTCGTGTTTTTCATATGAACTACATCTGGGGCCTCAATGACATATTTTCCATATCCCAGCTAGCGCTCACTGGTGCAATATTTTCACCAACATTGAAGAGCCACAGTGTAATATCCTCTATATATGTGTATGTAAGAGATATACATGAAAAAAAATCATCCACGAATCTATAAATAGCTTCTGGATGAGACGAAGAGTTTCAATAACAAATATCGATTTACAAGGCTAAAGGAGGTCTAAAGCTCAAATGGACATTTTTAAAAGGTCTCGTTTTTAGAGGGGTTTTACTCAGACCATGAAATAGTTAGTAGACGAATAGAGGTTAGCAGATCTTGTTTCTTTTGTGTCTATTTGACTATTATACATTAACTACTAGAACCTGTTCTACTTCTGAAGAAAACTACTCTAAAGCCACCAATAAAGAGTTTTAGATTGACTTTTTTTTCTCCCCGCAAACGGCAAACGTGACCACGCTTTCCTGTATTTTACTTAACCTCTTGAAAACTTTCATTTCACAAACAAATATTCTTTTGTTTTTTACTACTTTAATTTTTTTGCGATTCCTTTTCAGTTATTTAGAATAATTTTTCACTGATCAACTGACGTTACACGTTTGCCGTGAAGTCAATCTAAAACTCTCTAATAGAGAGTTTTAGATTGACTTTTTTCTTTCCCGCAAACGGCAAACGTGACCACGTTTTCATAGTTTTCCTTTATTTTACTTTACCTTTTACAAACCCTCTCACCAAGCGCAAATACTCTTTTTTGTTTTTCTACTACTTGGACTTTTTTGCGATTCCTTTTCAGTAATTTAAAAGGATTTTTTACTGGTCAACTGACGTTTCACGTTTGCCGTGAACGTAAATCTAAAACTCTCTAATACCTCTATTTTGACTTCAGTGTTCACTTAGAAGATTAGGGCGTAACTTTCGCTTACTAAGTACATACTTTCATTTTTTAAATCTTGTCTCAGTTCAAAATTGATCAAAATAGCAAAACAAATGGGAAAGTACCTTGGAACTGAAGCATTACAGGAAATATATTGTTGCGGTTTAATAAAAGTCTAATAGAAGATTAGGGCGTAACTTTCGCTTGCCTGTTAATTTACTTTCATTTGGAAAATCGAATTTGAATTTGAGCAGAGCAAGAGCACTATAAAAATYTGTGAAAGAACTGGAAAAAGCAGTAGAGAACTTAGAAATGAATAGATATGATTTTTGTGAAAAATATTAGAAATGATTTTTAATATTTAGGTTAATTATTCGTAAATAGTATTTGATATAAATAGAATCCTCTTGTGCTGTCAATCACAATCAATATCCTTACTATTTATACCTGATCCCAGTGTCAGACTGTAGTCATTGTTGGCTTACCTTCTGCCKTGGCTGCAGCGTTCAGTAGATTTCCCTACGAACCTTATCTTGGATGAGGACCYGACTGATCGATGGTGCGCCTTATACTGTTACTGTGTGCTTTGTTCTTGTTGGTTAAGGGTGAGTCTAAAACTTGATCAAACATTATTTCTTATTAGTGTACTTTTACTTATTTCCCTAAATAATGTAGACACAAATAATCATTTAATTTGAGTCTGAGTATCAAAAGACGAAAACAATGCATCAGAACGAAATCAAATGTAGCAAAAAGTTTCCTCGTTGGTTAATTTTGATATGGCACATGAAGTATAGAATGAAGTTCAATTTTCACTCAAAATCGTCACAGTTACACTTGTCATAGATATTCAATAGTGTCTAAATTATTATATAACAAAAATAATACAAAAAGGCAAGTTACTTAAATTTATCTTACAAAAGAATACAATAATCGTAGCAATTAGATACTGTTTTGATGTGTACCATGCACCCAACACCCAACGTTTTTTAAGAGAAGTTTTTCCCCAGAGTACTATGTCCATTGCTTTAGTAACAGGTCATAGAGTGCACGCACTAAAACCGTGAACATTAAATAGTACTAATTAGTACTATTTCATACAGAATCCTTTGTTTTCTATTGTTTTATTATCACTATTTAGTGCTAAAAATTAGTATTTGTTTCACGGATTTAGTGTAAGCACTCTAATAAGCCAAACTTCTAAGTAATATAGTAAAGTTATCTATCTAAATTGTATTCCAGTCCCAGTTCGATTCTGTATTTTTTATTCTTATATTTGTTAACACATTTAGTGCCAATTTACTTGATAGTTCTTATTTTTACGAGACCAAAACCCTACACACTTGAGCTACGCTTGGCTTACACGCACAAAAAGGAAAATCTAAATGTTTTTGCAAGAGAAAGCGTTATATCCTCTAGTCAGCCTCAGTGTTATAGCATAAATATCTGTAATCTTGAATCTCATAGGTGTACTTCAATATTTCACTTTATGTCTTTATTTTCTATTTTGAAAGAAAAAACACTAGTCTTTTATTAGTATAAGGTAAAAAAGGATATTCAAAAACAAAACCTTTAGTTATTGTATTTTAGTGTCTGAATACGTTGTGCAGCACCACGTAATCCGTTGTTCACTGAGTGAYTAGTATAGGAAATCGCACGATCTCGAGTACAATTTGGAAATTAATAGACACGAGTAATGTTTTGAAAGTTCTTTAATTGCACTCGCCTTTATTAATTCCAAATTGTACGAGAAAATGGTGCGATTTTTTGTTTATAGTTCACTCAACAAAATTTCAGTAAAAAATGCGAAGCGACGCCGTTCATCTTTATCTATTTGGCGGCCGATTTTCAGTCCATCGCGCAACTGAAATGCATAAAAAAGATTAGTTCTTACGGCTTTAAAATTTTATTTATGTTTTTTAAGTACAAAATGATAGAAAATAATTGTTTTGACATTGTTTTGGCCGTGTTGCCATAGCGACTTAATTCGGTACTCCTCTCGACCAATCAGAGTCGAGTAATTTTGTTGAGCGTCCTATAAATAACAAAACAGAACAACCAGATGTTTTAGACTTGATATAATAACACGAAGATATTTTTAAAAGCACGTTTCTGTTTGTTACAGAAGCAAAGTCCCAGGTAGCTGTTCGTCTAGTGGACGGTAAGACTCCTAACGAGGGACGTGTTGAAGTAAGATACAAAGGTACTTGGGGAACCATATGCAATGATGGTATCTGGGACATAAGGGATGCTTACGTGGTGTGTCACATGTTGAATTACTCCAAGGCAGTTACAGCAACAACTGCTAGAGTCAAAGGAACTGGTCCTATATGGCTTAAATTAAGAGGTGGTGGTTGCTATGGATCCGAAGAATCTATTGATCAGTGTGGTCATGATGGCTGGGGGTAACACTGGTGGATGTGATCACAGTCGTGATGCTGGAGTGGTATGTGGCAATGCAATTAACGTCAATGTTCGTCTAGTGGATGGTATGACTCCTAATGAGGGACGTGTAGAAGTAAGATACAAAGGTACTTGGGGTACCATATGCAATGATGGATGGGACAAATACGATGCTTACGTGGTGTGTCACATGTTGAATTACTCCAAGGCAGTTACAGCAAGAACTGCTAGCGTCAAAGGAACTGGTTCTATATGGCTTAATAGGCTTTATTGCTGGGGATCTCAAGAATCTATTGATCAGTGTTATCATGCTGGCTGGGGTAACACTGGTGGATGTGATCACAGCCATGATGCTGGAGTGGTATGTGGCAATCTAACACCAGGTACAACTAGATAAGTTACAAAACACTCATATGATCTTTGTTTATCTATTCAATCGTGTCAAAAAAAACATTTTTAAATCATCAACTGATTATAGTTCTTGCATTTGTTCGTTTTCCATTTTTATCAAATAATAAATAATGTGCACCGTTACTGTCTTAACATCAAATCAAGCAAAGTAAGGAATGTGATTAGAATGTTGGTTGTTCATTGAAAACTATTTGTTTCAGAGGAGAAAGCGATCGAAGTTCGTCTGGTGGGAGATCAAAACCATACTGGCAAAGTAGAAATACAGTATCAACGGACCTGGGGAGTAGTGTGTCATCGTTTGTGGGATATACAAGATGCTCACGTGATCTGCCGAATGCTTGGTTACAAAGCAGCAAAACACGCAATTCGTTCCATTGAAGGAGAGACACCAAGAAGAGGGCTCATGAATGATGTGGGATGCAGTGGTAGAGAAAAGTCGATAGCAGAGTGTGCTCACCGTGGATGGTGGAATATTTATTTAAAGTCATGCTCGAATAAAGATCTTGCTGGTGTGGTTTGTCAGACAAATGAAGGTAAGAAAAACAAATCTCTACTTTACTCTCACCATTCAAATATCATCACATCAAAGCAGATCATCTAAATAGTTCATTTGTTGATCAGACAAAAGTTTAAGTAAAGCTCTACTTATTCTCTTTCAAACACTTGTCCAAGTGTCAATTGTACAATGACCTCAATGATGTTGGTACAAATCCACAGATCCTCCACCAGTTCAAGTTCGTTTAGCTGGAGGAAGGTCAGTCAATTCTGGTCGACTTGAAGTCAGGTACCATGGTCAGTGGGGTACTGTATGTAAATATGGATGGGACATGAAAGACGCTGAGGTGGTGTGTCGTATGCTTGGTTACCCTGGAGCACAGGAATACATAACCACCAACTTTACACCCGTCAGGGGTATAATATGGCTGAGAAACGTTGGTTGTACAGGAAGAGAAACGTCGATTGCAGACTGCAGTCACAATGAATGGGGTAATGCGTACTGTTACCATAGTGGAGACGTTGGAATGACGTGTAAGATGGGTACGTTATTTAAAAAACAATGTTGAATTTCATGGCCCGAATCTAGCGCAAACTATTTCAAGATGAAACAACAGGTTTTGCTCATCTCTATTGACATTCAACACAAGTGAAATTCGATGTTTAAACTGGTTCTTACTTTTGTATTGTAAGTGMCTTAATCGTTTTGTTTGTAATATATACAGTATGAGTGGCCGTGTTGTATCCGATATGCAAACTCGAGGCGTAGCCGAGAGTTTGTATATTGGATACAACACGGACACGAATACTGTAGATTACTTATCAAACGTCTAGGTTAGTTCCTTTGTGTTTCGATAAAATTTTCAAGATAAAAGTGAATCTGGCCAAGAAAATCCAAGTTAAAGTTTATGCAAATGAACAGGATTCTGTATCCGATTTACAGAACTCTTCACGGTCGTGATTTCTGTTGTGTTTTCCTAATGAAGTATTAATGAGTTTAATAAGTTATTATAAAACATTATTCCCTAAAACTCTGACGCACCATATCTTTATTTCTAACCAAAAAGTGAAAAAGAAAAATCCTTTGACTTTCATCTTAATTTTGAAGGCGCAGTTAGAAGGAGAACACAAGCACTTACAACTACTAAACCGTTGCTGACCAAACCACTGACCAGGTTAAGGAAAAATCAGATGCTTCAAATGTTATGAAAGTAAAGTAGCACTTACCTTTTAACACCTCACATTGTGCATCTTTTTAGCAGCGTCACTGAGAGGCCAACAACAAATAAGAAACAGGTGAGTAGTTAACAATGGAAGTAAAATAAGATAAAGATGAAAAAGAGCATGACCCAGAGGCAGATCCAGGATTTTAAAAAGGAAGGTTTCAAAATGGCCGCCTCGCGGAAAAAGCTGACGAAATCGGCATCACAAAGAGGGGTCCTAATTTCATTCTGYTGAGCGTAAAGAACATGATTGGCTTAACAAAGGGCTGGAACCGCCACTGCGACCTGGTGTTATGCACACCGTGATTCCTAAACATACATACTTTTATCCTCATTTTCGAAAATCTATTTTTTCTACCTCATTTACTTGGGTCCAACATCTGTTGCATTCATCAGGTTGGGATGGGATTGTGTGCATTACAAGATTTCTTTGCTGTGATGAAAAAAATGTTTTTTTT